AGGTGTTATAAGAAATTGTATCTGCATGACTCAAAAAAATGGAGCTTCTCTCTACACTTTATACACTCCTTAATAATTGGACACATGTACAAGTGTCCTTTTTGTTTTGAATTTTTCCTTTGAAATTTCTGAGAAAAAACAGACAGCCCTTTTGAACATTGGGTGGTGTTATGTACACATTGTCTCTTCTTCTCACCCATAATTATGTATCAAAAACTTGTTTGTCATATCATCAAAATGATCATCAGACCTAAAATGAAACAACATTACTAACCTTAATCTATCAATGTCAATCTAACAAGAAGGAAATAGGCTGCTACCCCTGGGACACATCCATGTTTCAGTACTGGCAGTTCTTGTATGATCATGGTCCTCTGGGCCCTCCTCTCTACACTTACTTACCTTACTTTCATAGACCAAATTAAATTCCAACAACATCAATGGAACACAAGATGAAAAACACTGACGAATTCCTGCCTTTTTCCAGCTGGAATTTCCCCAGAGCATTCCTTATAGTTCTGCGCTAATGGAATTAATAAAGAAACCAAGTGCTGAAACGAGGTGGGAGCTTAAATTATGTAGAAATGCCGACAGGAAACCATGCAAGTCTTAATCCCCTCGTTAATGTCATTACAGGTTCCTGTCTTGATGGGATTAATTAATTAATGACAGGAATCTTATGCGAACCACTTCCTGGTAAAGGAGACTTTAACTCTGGCACACCCTACTCGTGTATGGCCCACTTCCTTTCGATGTGCCAACTTTTTGATGTACCACCATTCTCCGTGACCCAGTCCTCTGTAGGGCCAGGTTATTGCCCTACCTGAAAGTTAGTCATGTATTAAATGTTCTAACAATTTTTTCACCTCCACAACTGTACCCAACCCTTTATAAGTATGCAGGAAAGTATGATTAATAATCAGATCTTAATGATAGAAGCATTTCCTTTACATGTGTGGATGCACACAACTTGTAGAACTGAACCCAACCCATGATTAGGAACAGGGGACAATTTTGGGGAATGATTCAGAAAAGTGTAGATTTTCTCCAGGCGCAAAAAGTTTTTTATTTTTATTTTTGACAAATGTGGTTTGTTTGAACTGATTTGTATGAACTGTGTAAAGGAATGTATGGTATTCATTTTATCTAAATCTATGTACAGATCTTGGAAGGTTTTTCTCCACATCCTGTTGTAGTGTTTACTGTGCCCCCCATGAAGGTTACTTCACACGAAACATAAGTCACCAACCACGACAGTAGACCGGGCCCTGAAGGCAATATGAATTATAGTGATAACTTTATCTTGAGATGTTTATGTTGATGAAGATTAGAGTGTCCTGTAATACAAAATATATCAAGCAACTGGATAGATTCTCTGAAGAGTCAAGAGTCAAGTAGCATTTGCTATCTTTCATTAGTAACTGAGAATGTAGACAAGTGTAACCTGTATAGATAGCACCTGATTTTATGTATATGTACATGTATGTTGCTAGCAATACTGCTGTAGTGTTGATAGCATCTTACATGACTAGAGGAGAAAACATTTTTACAGGAAATTAAATAGATGAATACCAGACAGTAATAAGTGAGACTGTTAAGAATTTTTGCCGTTTCCTCCTGTCTTATTTTTATGTTGTGGTGTCTGAAGTGACTTCCAGAACAAATATGTATGGAAGCAAGCTGAGGGGAGGTGTCCTCTCAGGCTCTGTATAGTCTTCATCATGAATCATTCTTGTATGGCCAAAAATGTTTAATGATTGTTACCTTAAAGGCCTTCTCTGCATCTAGCATCATGTTCTCATTAGGGCTAGAGGCCATACTTATCCATTGTCACCTGACTATATTTTGTTTTCAGAATTAGTCTGTCATCTCCACACTCCTTTTCTTCCCGCCAACACACCTGTACCTCTACCCAACACTTTTGTTTCTTACCTGCCCACACTTCTGGGTTTGTTGTCTTTACGGCTCTCTGACTGTTTTCCTACCTGCCGCCAGAACGGTGCGCCCACTTTCACACCTTTTGTCCCACCTGTTTTCCGTTGCGGAAGTGGTGCAAGGAAGGTCCAAAGGCGAGAAAGGATGCGTGACCGGCGTGTTCTGTGTGCTTATCGTTATCCTCACTCACTCTTGTGGTAAAAGTTGTTTCTGCCTGGCTTAAAATTGCTGAAATCTCTCAGCCCTGGAATAACAAACGATGTGTGTGGATGGGGACCATTTGAGACGTTGTGACCATAAATCTGAGGGGGGGGGGATGTGAGACCACATTGTGACAAGAGGAGGGGTTCAAAGTCACAATGTAGAAGAGAGAAGCGAGTACGGTGTGGGGGATGAGTCAGGAACTTCAGATTCCATTATGCTGAATGTGTTGAACTTGGCTTTTAGATTCCATCCAGCTGAATGTGTTTAACTTGGCTTTTAGCCTCTTGGATTAATCAGAGTGTGAGTTTCCCGGAAGAAGGGATTAAATTTGAAAGGAAGAAGCTGTCAGAAGTTATGTATTATACCAACTTCGTGTCAGAGCTGATTAACGTGACATGTAGGCATTATAAGGACCAGATTTATTCACTCAGTACTGAAGGAAGGAGATAGAAAAGTCTTATCTTGAAATGAAAGTTACTGTTGTGTGTGAAAGTGGAGGGGGGATTTTCTCCTTGGTTTTGTAAAGAATGTCATCCCTAGTGTTAATTGTTTGTAGAGACAGTACCTTAATGAGGAATACAGACAGACAGGGCAATCTTTAAGACAGACAGGAGCAATCTTTTGCGAGTTTGCCAGGCGCCTGGTCTCCTTTGCAGTTGTAGGGGCAGGGATCGAAATTCATTTTTTTGATTAGGTGCACTGGTGCACCTAACCAAAAACATTAGGTGCACCAAAAAAAATTTGGGTGCACCACATATTTCCAGTAGTACATTAATAAGTTAAATATTATTAATATCAAATTAATATTCCACACGTAAAGAATGCTAAAAATGATCGTAGCAAGAGTGGAAATTGCATCGCTATGGAAATAACACAGTAATGATCTTACCGAAAAAGGGCAAATTAGGATGCCGAGATCGAAAAAAAAAATATAAAAAAAATCTAGAAATGAAAAAAAAATCACACAAAGCCTCAATCTTTTTGCACTTGACTTCTCGGTTGATTCGGTTTCGGACTCCGACTCTGATGACCCGGAACTGGACAGTCGGAAGGAGCTCGGGAGGCCGTGGAGGAGGGCCCGGGAATGTTGTCGAGAGCACATGGCCCGCCCCCTCCCCCTCTGTCTCGGCGCTCCCACGGCACGGTCTGTCCACTTCTCGCTCGTCCGGGCGTGTTTCCCGTTGGTTTCCAGCTTCATCGCTTCCTTCGGGGTTCTGAAGAGCTTGGGCTGATGTTGCCACATCTCGTCGTCATCACGATCGGACCTCGGCTGAAGGAACCGTAGAAGCGAAGTCTGTCTCGACATATTTGTTTTGCTTTGTCATCCACGAATTTCATGGCCGAATTTTGTCGACACCCGGGTTTTGACGATGTGACCTCGAAGATTATCGAAGTCAAGCGAAAACTGCACGAAAACAACATTTTCTCACATGACAAGCCCCCGAGGTAACTCCCAAAAAGCGTCGGAAAGTTCCGGAAGCGAGTTCGCGATGTTTTGGTCACATGACTATCAAGAAACCGGGGAACGAGAGGGAAGAGATCTCATGTCCAGTGTTGTAGTCGGGATCCGGAAGTTGGTGGGTAACGCGAAGTCGGCACTGCGCCGACACATAATTTTTCGGGCTTTAAAAACTGAAGTAAATCTAATTCTATCTCAAGAATTTCAAACAAGCAGTGCATCAAAGGTTTTTTATTATTTTATTCCATCAAAGCAATGTTGGAATTACAGTGTTTTGTACCTTTACCGTACTAATACTACAAAAATATTTAGGTGCACCGGTGCACCCACAGTCAAAAATTGGGTGCACCGATCCAGATTTGGGTGCACTAAGGTGCACATGCACCCATTATTTCGATCCCTGTGTAGGGGTCACAGCTTCATGTTCAGGTCACAAAAAGCTTCACAAACAAACTGCCGACCAGACCTTGTGGCCGGGCACTCAAGCTAGACTTAACACTAATAACAGGGAGACCCAGACCTTACATATAGGTGGCTCCCTAAGCAGGGTAGTTTTCTTGATACTGCCAAGGAGGCCATTTTTTTTGCTCTACATTTTTCCGGGACAGGAAATCTTCTGATCAGACTTTTATGATTGCTCTGTAAGCAGGTTGATCTCGGCCAAAGCAAGACTTAACCGCAGTGATTGTAAATTTTATCTTCTGGGATGAATCCATGTATTTGAACTACTGATAGTTGTATGTAGCCTGTTACACCTGTGGAGAAACCACTGCTGCCTAGTGCATTCAGAAACGTTGCTTCCAGTTTGAAAACGGACTCATCAAACCCCCATGTAATATCGCGGGATTACATGACAAAATCCTACTGTCTTCCATCCTGACAGCATCCATCCATCTCTCCTCCTGCTCTGCCTCCTCCACACACCAGCCAGGAGCCCTCATTTAGACATCTGTCTCTGCAAAGGCAAACACTAATTGACAAGTTGTTAGTTGCGGAGAAGCCAAGAAGTTTGTCGGCCTCTTGTGCGTTGTATAGTCATCATACAGAAAGCACCCGGCATACATCTGTCATAAAACAAAGTCATCTATCAGCTCACAAGGTCATATATCTACTCACAAGGTCATATATTAGCTCACAAGGTCACTCACAAGGTCATATTATGTTATCTCACAAGGTCATGTCAAGGGATCAAAGTCTAGCAGGGAAAATTGTGATGCCCTTTAAGTTGTTCCATTGAAAGGTACTGAGTTTATATTAAGAATTGATTTATGTGTTGACTCTGGGTAACCTGGGATTAATGTACAGGCTTTTAAAGGGCTGCTGTGATAAATTTATGTGGATGTTATTAATCACAAGATAAATTTGTGTGGTTGACATTAATGATGACTCAGATGAAATTTACTAGCTATAAACCACAGCAGCCTCTGCCTTCATCCAATAAATCATGTGCCAAAAATCTGGTGCTATGTTTAATCCATTCATTTCCAGAAAAATTCCACAACAATCAAACCTCAATTATGTTAGACTTTCATATTATCTATGTTGCCAGTCTGACTTTGACTTTTGAATGTGATTTATACTAATGACATCAGTTGGAGGTGAAACAGTAAGAGATGATGCTAAACTTTCACTACTGACATGCTGCAAACATAATGTTGATGATGATGATGTTGGTGTTGTTGATGATGATGATGATGATGACGACTCTCTGTGTTGATGGCCCTCATACAACATCATCAACCTCAGAAATGTTTACACATTTCTCTCATCACACTAAGACATCTAGCCTGCCAAGTTTGGCCCTCTCCTCCCAAGGAGCCCAGGCACCTCCTTGTGAGGGGCAACACGTCTTCAAATATTTACCCACCATCCCTGCTGATAAACGATGTTTGATTTCCCACCTCCCTGGGTTTCTCACGGCCCTGCAAGGAGACTGACTTCTGGAGACACGAGCCTCCTGTGAAATAACTTGGTATAACATTAACAAAGCAATTTTGGCATGGAGATGACAGTGTTAAATTTTGTGACACTCCCATAAGAGGATGTTTAAAATTGTTACATCTTTCCAAAAGTGTTCATGGAAAAATCATCTTCACTGCATTGCAAGACAAACTTAGTTGCAAAACTGTTTTTTTTTCTTTATTTATTTTAACAGTTATGATTATGACAGCTGAAAACTATGTGTAGGTATGTTTTAAGAATACAAATATGTTGATCCCCTCTAACATGTTTGTTTTGATGTGTTTTACAGAAACCATGTCTTCCTGGTGGATGTTGATGACTTCCAGATATTCAGATCGGTAAGTTATCCACAGTGCCAGCTAACTGCTTTTTCTTCAGACAATATGAGAAAGACAAACTGAAAGCCTTCCATGTGAAGCTACCTGATTGAAGCCCAAATGCCAGAAAGCCATGAATGATCGGAAAAGTAGGTCTGTTTTTCTTGTGAAACTTAACAACACAAGACAAATTCACAGCCAGCAGAAACTTCCCAGAATGGAGTTCTTCCTTAAACCTATACATGAAGGTCAAATGGTCAAGAAGGAATCAGTGAAAGATGCAGACAGTGTGTTTTCTTTCTCACGCATAATAAGAACTTGAAAGGTACCTGGGTAAGAATTAAGACGTGAAAGTGAAAGATGTCAGGGTAAGAAGCAGTGAAAGTCAAAGGTGTCAACTTAAGAGGCAGTGAACGTGAAAGCTGTCACCGTAAGCAGTGAAAGTGAAAAGTGTCAAGGTAAGAAGCAGTTCAAGTTGTCAGGCTAAGACACAGTGAAAGACCCTTTAACAAACTGGCCCCCTGCAAAGCTTTGGCAAAGGTGTATACATGGAAGATTTGGTTTCTGACAAAAAAGAAAGTAACTGCTTGACATACATGTACAATGTAGTTCAATATCCAATCCAATATTAGGAGGCAGTAAATCTGTCCCCAGAACTGCAGGATACCTGGGCTGGTCTGTCTTCTATCCATCAGCAGGACTTCTATAGCAAGTCTCAAACAGTCTCTACAGTAGCCCCCTGGCACCTGACTGGCATGTTTCCATTTGTTTGTCCCCTGCTGCCTGGTGGGCAGAACAGTTGGCCTCTGTAGCAGGAGGGCTGCCTGATGGATTGATATTTGAATAGAGAAAAGTAACCAGAAAACAAGACAAGGTCTGCCCACTGGAGCAGAAGGAAGATTTCATCCCAGATAAGATCCTTTCCTTCTTGGGAGACCCAACGGGAACAAAGAGCTGTAAGAATGTTGTTTGGAAGTGAAGATACTGTTGTTTTGAACTGTCGTGGTGTGTTGGTAAAAATTCCTGCCATGTAGGTAAAAAGAATTCCTTTCTTTCAGAAGATTGAGTGGAAGTCCACGGAGGATGACCAGGGCATGTGCCAGATGAAGGGACTGATGAAGGTGAGTGTTCTCACCAGGTGGATGCACCAGAGACCTTTGTGGTCTTACCTTGCAGTCAATTGTAGAAAGCCATGGAACATGTGACTAAAATGTCAGGCTTGTGCCCAGAGAACAACACAAAAATCTTTGTGTGTCAAGTTTTTGTGTGTTTTCCTGAAGCCTGACCCTGGCCTGCCTCCCTAATAATGTGAGAAATTTTTCCCCACAAAACAGAAGAGAACTTGACAGCAAAACGTAGCCCCTTTGTAACAGTATACTTACAAAAGTCATACAAAAAGAAAACAGTAGCTTGCCTAAAGCCCTGTCTGAATGAACGGACTGATGGTTTTGATGTTTTTTGCTGTCTCCATAAAGGATGCTGTTTCATTCCATGGGTATACTAGATTTTTTAACTAGATGTTGAACTTGAATGTAAGATGTTTCTCATAAGTACATTCAGAAGATCCATCTTAGTAAACCTGACTGAACACCTGAATGTCTCACACAGCATGAGTGTCACAACTTTATCCGCGTTCTGGAGCTGAGAAACGACTCCACGCTGTTCGTCTGTGGAACCAACGCGTACGACCCTAAATGCCGAGACTATCCGGTGAGTACAATGCCACAAGCACTTCTCACTAGGGTTCTCTACCCGTTGGAAAACTTGGTACTGGCTAAATTAACTTTGTCTTTTCCTTCCATGAATTGAACCTTTCACTAACTTGAAAACAGGAAAACTCCTTCCATTGTGACAGTGTATCCTGTCAGTTTCCAGCCCACAGCATATGTCGTGACTAACACACATGTACAATGTAGCATTACACAAAATGTACACAAACACTTATACAATAGCCTGTATGGTCCCTCCTCAGAACCACATCCTGAGAACTTAGGTTACTACATGTGTAACATAAGCCTCCCAGTGTCACTGGAATATCACAGAGGCAAGTTCTAATTGGTTCTGACACTGCTACAGTTGAGCCTTTTCAGTGTTCACCTCATGTGGCCTCTAATTTAAGTATTCAGTAAATGCTGGCTGAAAAACTGAACATAACATTATAGAACCAGTTGGACCACTTATCCATGACTGCGAGGATTTGAGAAGATGCTCAGATTTGCCTGGACAGTTTGACAAGATGAATGCATTTTGTCCTCTTTGTCCACAAAACCAGTTTTATATTCCTCCCATGGATCAGGGGTCAACCCTTGATCCAGCAAATTTCTCACTAAGGAGTCTTCATTGCCTTCAGAGCATTTAATTTGAACCTGGAGATAAAGAAGCCAGTCCTGAGGTCTTAAAGATAAAGACCAGAGGTCTGTGTCCTCCGTAACTCCCGAGGCCTTATCTTAACTTTTTCCCTGCTAACTAACTAACCCCCTAACTAAATTGGTAACTAAACAGCTACTCCAGTGTGCTAAAGGTTGCAGACCAAAGGTTGATGTCTAACTCCTGAAGTCTGTATCTATAACTCAAACTGTCCCCTAGCTTTGCCGACGAGACTCACAGGATCACTTTCCCTAGACAGTCCTCTAACCTGTAATTTCCACTAAGCCCACCATTCCCCCAAACCAGCCTTAATTGTCGGACGGGTCCCTAAATCACCTGCTGACCAGGTCTTCAATCCTGGATGGCCCTGGTTGTTAATACCTGATGCTCTGTCCTAAAACTTAGAAAAGCCTGATAGCCTGTTCTCAAACCTAATAGCTTGTCCTAAATACCCTATAGCCTCTCCTGAAAGCCACCTATGTCTGACTGTGATCAGTGGTGATGGACACTGATTGCAGGTACTGGTAATTACCATTCCTCTTGGCATGATGGTTAACTTCTTCTGTTGAGGGGAGCCTTTGTGCTTGGTGTGACAGATAGTCGTCTTGCACAAACTGTAATCATTGAGCCACAGAAGGAGAAACTTGGGGAACCCGTGTTGTTGTTGGACCTGAAGACAGGACTGCAGATTTGAGATGGTAGACCTGAATACATGACTATAGGTTTGTCCGTTTGAGAAAGCTGTGTTGTTGTGAAGTTTGGATCTGAAGACAAGACTGTAGGCTATACAGAGGGTGACAGAAGTTGAGGAAGCTGTGTTATTGTGAAGTTCCGAACTGAATACATGACAGATCGCTCTTCGGTACTGCTGCTCCTCGCAGGCACCCCGATTCGTCATCGCCTGCTTCCTGCAATTAAAATAATCATCACGGGATGCTCCTTTCCACGGGAGCAGGGCCGAAGCGCCGCCGCTGCCGCCTCCATGCATCATCCTGACAACCAGCAATTTCACGCTGAGTTTTTGTCAGTCTGACGTTGTTCCTCCCCATACAAATCACCCAGGAATCCCGACACTCAGCAGCCTATAATTCCCCGACAGGAAGGACACTCTGCCCCTCGGTGAGCCTGCTTTGTGGAGGAGACGGTAGCCATGGTAACGTTTTCTAAAGACGATTGTGATGAGAGTGTTCCTGCTCATTTCCCGTGAATGGGATGTGAGGAGAGAAAGGAGTCGGGAGGAGTGAGTAGTTTGGCGGGGCGGCTAATGGATTTGTCAAGTTCAGGGTCTGACCTGAGCCTAACGCGTACCGGAGCGATTAGGCATGAGTAGCAAGCAGAACGGGCAGAAGATTACGGGAATTCTCTTGTTCAACAAAACACAGATGGGAGGCGACACAAGTGGATGTAAACTCCTAAGATTTGGTTATGCAGAAGAGTTCTTGACAGCAAGGCTCTGTAAACCATGAGGCTTTGCACATGCAGGTTTTGTGCAGGTACATGGAAAATTGTGCAGAAAGTTGTGATGTCTACATGTACCTGCACCGAACCTGCACAGGGCTGTGATAAGACCAGCTTGCAAAGCTAGATTGATTCACAGCCTGTAGTGGCCTGAAAATGCCTCAAGTCCTTCAATACAGGAGATAACAAAGTTCACAATGATACAACTAGCAACATTTTCAAAACACAGAAAGCCTAGCGAAAAATATTGTGCAGATAAAACTTGTTTGGTTCAGATAATTATGTTTGCTGCACTAGTGCAGCCAAGAGCCAGGATTGATGCTGGTTTTCCTTGGGACTGAAGCGGCAGAACGGATAACCTTTGCCGGTTGTCCGGTGGGAGAGTCAGCGCGAAACTGCGTCATTAAAACAAATGGCAGGGCTGGTAATAAACCTGAACCTCTGCCAGATGGGACCTCATGATGTTACTCGCAAACATGCAGGGCTTTCTTCTCCCTGCTGAGCAGCTGTTTGGCACCAATTTTGTATTTTTTACCTAAACGTTTTTACATTAACGTAACAAGGTTTCCAACCTTCCCTGACCGCAGGCATACACACACACACACACACCTTTCAACGTCTAAACTTTGTGTTCTGTTTTCCAGCTGGAAGTGTTTTCAGAGCGTGCATACAATGGCGGCGCCCCCACCATGTCTGGCATCGCGAAATGTCCGTTTGATCCAAGCCATAAAAACACTGCTGTCTTTGCAGGTAAGCTGGGTTCTCTGGGCTGAAGCTGAGTGTAGCCTCTTCAAATATTGTTCAAAGGTGTGATTTCCATGGGAGATTAGGACATGAAACAAAGGACATGTAAATAACAGTTGCACTGGGGAATCAGGACAATTTTCCAATGGCCAAGGTGACCTTGGCGAGGTGGGGGAGGGGGCAGCCTATTTAGTGATGCTGGATAACAGCTGATTGGGAACGGAGGTTGCATTGGAGGAATGTCCAAGTGGAAATCTGACAGGGTGTGTGCTCTAAGGAATACTGAACAGCCTAAGGAATACTGAGCAGTCTTAGACAGTTCAGTATACCTCAGAAGAGAAACTTCGCTAAGTCTATGCTCTAACTGTCTAAAGACTAATGAACTGTCTAAGGAATATTGAGCAGATTTAGCCGAGGTCTAGCCTCTAAGTAATAAGTTCTGTGCCTATCCTGTAAGAAATATTGAGAAGTCTATGCTAAGTCTATCCTCTGAGAAATACTGAACAGTCTAAGCTACTTTATGCAATTCATTCCCAGAGGTATCCTTACAGGTTGTGAGCATTAAAGCAGCACATTCTGTGGGTTTTGCATCATATGCCTCTCCTCTATCTGATCAGCACTAGATACAGAAGCTTCGTCTTTGTAATTGAATTCGCTAAGATAGGCAGGTGGCCATATAGCTTTAATTTCCTGCGATGTTCGAGTTCATTGCCATCTGGTTCCCGCGGGGGTTGACCTTTGACTAGGGCTGATAAAATGGGTGGAGAGCTTGGAATTGTAGGATTTGTTGGGCGTGCATAAGGGCTTGTAGGATGGCAGACCTAGATAACTGCAAAACAAGGCTCAATTTCATCATAAAAGCCCTACTGTAAGGGAAGCAATGCTCAGTTTCCTCCCAAGCCTTCCCTGTAATCAGATTTTACCTGCTTGGCTGAAGTGAACTGTAAAATAAAGTTAGGACTGTGTTAGCTTGAAAGTTCATCCATGTTAGTAGAAATGATTCTGAAGCAAGGTTGAACTTAACTTTCCAACATAAAAATTGGACTCCTTCAAATTTTGGACTGTCCAACTCCAGTCTTTGTCTCTGGATAAGCTTTGTCAATGATTGGCTCCTTACAATTTTTGTGGGCTTTTGTGTTGGAAATACAGTGTGTTGTATGTAAGAAGCAGTTGTCGACTTAAATGTACAAAAAGTACATGTGACACCAGAATGTGATTGCCAGTAGGCAAAGGAGAAGCACAGATAAGATGCTGAATTTGGTGACTGGTGTAGATATGTCCCTGTCAAAAGTTAATTGTTTGTTGACGTCTTTGTTTGCTGGCACCCACAGATGGTAAACTGTACTCGGCAACAGTTGCAGACTTCACAGCGAGGGATACAGTTATCTACCGGAGTCTGGGGTACGTGGAACCCTACGACCCCACCCTCAAGACTGAGCAGTATGACTCCAAATGGTTGAACGAGCCCAGCTTCATCAAATCCTTCGAACACGGCAACAAAGTCTTCTTCTTCTTCAAGGAAACTGCAGTGGAGTACATCAACTGTGGCAAGGTACTGGGCTTCACTCTTGTTTTGGCCATGTTTGAATTCGTGGATTTTAATTCCTCAAGGTGATAAGCTGTGAGGGCCCTTTTTCAGAACAAAGTTGTAATAATGGTACCTCATTGAGTGTAGTTGTCATACAAGAGTTTTGAAACGTAAGCTTAATTCTACATGGCCAATTTTTAGCACACTCAAGTAGACACATTGCTACTAATTCTCTATTGGTTATGGAGTTAGGCAGCAGACTGAGATAAACAATTCTATCCTTTTTCCCCCAGACGATCTACTCGCGTGTGGCCCGGGTGTGTAAGGATGACCAGGGTGGCCAGCGCGTGCTGCAGAATCGCTGGACGACCTATATGAAGGCGAGGCTGAACTGCTCTGTCCCTGGGGAGTACCCGTTCTACTTCGATGAGATTCAGGCCATGACTGACCTGATACAGGTCGGGGACAGCTACCGCATGTATGCAGTCTTCACCACACCACAGAACAGCATTTCAGGTAGGCTGTTTGTTTGTTTGTTTGTCTGTTAAATTGTTTATTAAGGGTTACTTGTGTGGTTTCTATTGGCAGTATTTGAAAGACATTTATAAAACACTGCAAGTTTTTACATCTATCACTGATACTTGACTACATAGGGCCAAAAGTTGATACATTTTACATTTATTACTACTTCTAATTGCTGTAGCAAATGTGCTGATGTTTCATGTGGTTACTACTTTCCTCAGGTTCGGCCGTATGTGCGTTTGACATGGAGAACATCACAGAGGCATTCGACGGGAAATACAAGGAGCAGGAGACAACGCAGTCAACATGGCTGCCCGTCCCGCCCAACCGCGTGCCCAGCCCGCGCCCAGGGAACTGCGTCAACAACTCCAAACTGGTGCCCGACACGACCCTGAACTTCATGAAGACCCACCCGCTCATGGACAGTGCTGTGGGTGCGTGGGGCGGTGAGCCGCTCTTCATCAAGACTGGGTCAGCGCGGTTCACATCCATCACTGTGGATACAGAGGCAGGGATCGGTAACCACCTGGTGATGTTCATAGGCACCAACACAGGGAAGGTGAGACAATGGGTTGTATGGGGGGTGGGTGTTTTTTGACACAAGCAACACGACCAACCATCTACATAGTTTTGTTGATGGAAAGTAATTAATTACAGTAACTCATCCCCCTGCTTGTTTTTTTATTTTCATCTCTTCTCCAGGATCTTAAGATGTTGTCTGTTTCCTTCTCCATATTATCAACAAGTTGCACCTCACCTTCTCCTTGTGCTAAAAAAGTTTATGTCCTTCCTCAGGTTCTGAAGATCCTGTACGTTGATGGGAAGCAGGTTTTCCTTGAGGAGATTGATGTAATGGACCAGGACACTCCTGAGGGGGAACGCTCCATCTTAAACCTGCGCCTCGTCCAGAAGACACCTCGTGAAAAGGTCCTAGTCGCTGTGACCCAGCGCAAGGTCATGCAGGTGCCACTAGCGCGCTGCCAGCGCTACAGCTCCTGCAGGTAAGCTATCACTGCTCTCACCAGTGGTACATCCCATATATAACATAAACACATACCCTTCCCTGATAATGGACTGTTGTATTGTAGATGAAGGGGTACAGATAATATACAATTCCTGTAGTTTTCATCACTAGTGTTCAGGAGTTTAACCCTCTGATGTCTTGCTTTGGCAGGTCATGTGTGAAGGCTCAGGACCCATATTGTGGGTGGAGCGGTGACAACAATGACTGTCGGGAGGCGTGAGTACACTTTACCTTTTACTTTTGTTGCGTCATCATCTGATTCATATTTGTCAGACTTTCACTGTAATCTCTGTCAAATGTTGCTGTAAAGCAAAACTGAAATGTGTGTCTTTTTGCAAGAGGATGCTGTTCAGTGCTACTGACAGATGTCTGACCAATTGCTGTAATTTTTTCCAGGGTTTCGAGCAACACCCTCCAAGATGTTATTAACGGAGACCATACCAGCTTCAGTGGGTACACCTGTTCAGGTGAGTCAGACGACACTTTGCGTTACTGGTGGCAAGGTTGTCTGTGTCTTCATGAAAAGAAAGATCTTGTATAGAATTATGTTGTGTTGGCTGCAGTGAAGTCCTTTATACTGTATATCACAGAAGGCACAAATTGAAGTATTGGTAGTTACTTGAGGAGATGATCCTCCATTTGAGACAGCAGCGAAAAAGAAAACAGCCTTGCACTTTTTCTTTTAATTGGTTTGCGCTTCATACTCTGTCATCTTCGGATGCCCAAAAACCGTTGCTCAGAACATGTGACATGTGAACTGTAAGCAATAGGTCAAAGAACATTTGACTTTGAATTTTTTCCAGTATGTTATATTCCAACCCAGGTTAATTTCCTAACCTGCTCCTTCTGTTTTTCCCTGCAGGCTTCAGTGACTATGGAGGTAAGTTATGGTCCACTGTGCGGCAGTTCTATCCATACACAAACGTACATTGTACATACATACATACAAACCCACAAACATCTTACAAACACACAAACTACACAAGTGTACTGTAGAATGTGTAAATGTGTACTCATTTAGGAGGGTGACATGATTTCCAGTTATAGTGCTGAACACAGTAACTTACAATAGTCAGCAGAATTAAAAAGAAACCGCGAATAACATACCTTTAATAGGCTTTATGAGGACATAATAATGGCAGTGGTGCCAAATGTTACAACCATGCCATAATGACCACCTCCTGTGCAATACATAACTGGTTAAATAGTGTTTCAGTCAAATTAAGTGCATAATTTTCCCTAATCATCAGTGAAGATGATAAAGAGATTTTGAGGATCTGTCATAAAACTGAGATGAAATCATTCCCCTCAAGGGACTTAAATACTGACGTTCTGGCGTACTAAAGCCATCTTTTTCAGCTACGATCTGAGCTTCACTAGTCTTACCTGCCAAATCAGGCACTTTGATCCAGTCTAAATGTACTAAACTGAAAACTTTTTATATTTATCACAATTCCCTTTGTTGTTTTGATTTCGTACTGTTGTTTTTGTTTGTATGATTAACATTTTCGTTGGTGTGCTAACTTTTTTTTCTTTTTCTTTCCTTGGCCCCATAGATACGAGTCCCCAGTCTACGCAGACTCCGTGTGAGTGCCGATCTCCGGGTTAGTAAGACCATCTCCTCCCTCGTCTCTGTTTACTACGAGACTCTCCATTCCACTGCAAACCTCCCCTCCACTCTTTGCTCTGTTCTCTAAAGTCTATCAGTGACATTCAAACTCTGTACGTCTGAGCCAGAGTTTTAAACACAAGCTTGCAGGCATCCAGCCATGTGCACAGTACAACAAGGTGGCTGTAGGCTGATAACTATGATATCATATATTAATATAACACAACCTTATCATGTACAGTTTTAACACCTGTCAGGTAACACATCTTTATTATCATGTGCAGTTTGTGTAATGGGTATGGAAACGGGAGGGTGTAGAGTCTCGTTTTTCCCCCATGGTGAGCAATTATTGTGCGCCATCTCGTCATCACAATTGTTCCTCCTCTGATTTGATGGATTGCACTTGGTCCAGGAGAAATCCCCAGGTCTTTGGTTGTGCTGATATTTGCAGGCTGTGGAGTAATAGGGGGACTTAAAGATGTAATTATGACTCTAGCGCATCTCATAAGACCTAGCTACTGCCAAGATAGAGTTAAGCTCTCTAGAAAGAACTAGCTGGGGAGAGCTGAAGCTTGGTGAACAATTCCAGCTGGGGTACTAGGTGTTTATAGGCCATGGTGCTTTCCCGTTATAAACTGTGCATGATAGGGAACCACTCTGCTGACTCTCTCCTGACTTGTGCCTTTAGTACTCGTATGACTAACTGGTCGTAAGGTGTTCGAGCTTGCCATGGTGCTTCGTCATCTCACACAGTGGAGGGTCTTCCTTTCTCCGTCCTTCTAAAGCTAAAGGAAAATAGATGTGTAAGCAAGAAGTCCAAAATGTGTAAAGACTTGTGTAATGTTGTTAATCCTGTCAGTAAGAAATGATGGATTGTTGTAAGCGGTGAAATGTGAGAACTAATGCGGTGGTGGTAAGACAGGGTGGCAGGATGTGATGGCTCGGTGTTTACTGGCTTCTCTGCTTGCAACCTTCAGTCTTAGAGGTAGTTCCCTTAGCGGAGGAGGGTGAGCCCGCAGCGGTGTCGGACCTGACCGAGCAGCTTTTGCGTGGATTCGATGCGGCTGTGGCAGTGGAACAGACAGAGGCAGTGGTTACCCAGATGTACGGCAGCAGCACGAAGCTTGGGAACATCCTCCGTAGTCACGGGGAGATTTTCGCCCAGACAGCACGGAGCCTGTACCAGCATCTGGTGATGATGTGTGAGCCAATGCAGACATACCGACACATGAAGCACCAGTGGGGCTGTCTACGCAGCTGCCTCTTGGGTCACCATCGCGACATCATGAACGTGGGGCACATGACTTTGCAGGAGCAGTATGACGTCCTGGATGCCATGTTGTCTGTAGTGTACGACAGTGCGGTGGAGACCATGTTTGGGCTAGTGTCGCGTCAGGTGAGCAGCAACGTGACATCAGAGCGTCAGACATACGGGCTAATGCTGGATGAGCTCCTGCTGGACCGGTACAACCACACCTGCAACTCCTCCCGCATGTACCACCGTAACCGCCTGGAGATCACCATCCTGGAGAGTTTCCTGGTACGGGAGGACCACCAAATGCTGCTAAACTCCTCCCGCCTCCAGCTCCTCCGCGGCATCCACCGTGCAGCATCCCGCTTCCTCCAGGCCGAGCAGAACCTGGTCCGGTACGGCGAGCGGCTCATTATCAAGTACGCGAAGCTAACAAAGCTGATGGTCCGGCATGACGAGGACCTGCAGGACCAGTACAACCGGACTGTGCAACCAGTCGTGGACATCATCCAGGACCTGAGTCCAGCGGAGAAGGAGAAAGCCAAGTGGCACGTCTTCAGCAACACCGTCACTAAGGTGGTGTGTCGGGCACTCCTTCAGCTGTCCGGGACAGAGTGCAAGGAAGAGGAGGAGACGGGGAGAAGGCGCTGCATGAGTGAGGAGGTGTTGGAGGCAATCAACGCTGATGAGGAGGAGGATGAAGAGGAGGGAAGTGCTGCTGATGCTGAATCAGGGATAGTTACTTGGGTCATTTCTGATGGATGGAAACGTTGGAAAAAGGAACAGGAGAGGATGCGTCGGTTCTTGCAAAGGAGTCCTTGATATTGTTGTATACCTGTAGTAGCAGACAATACAATCTAATTGCAAGAAGGCTGTTCTGCACATTTGGTGACACACAAAGTTTGTAAAGTAATGTTAAATCTAGTTGCTTTGTGTATCATAAACACTGGCATAGAAGACCGTACGAAACATGTGAAAAGGCACCCTGGTCGTCGTGGGTGTTTGTAGATGATTTGTCATAGACAGTCTACTGTTATCAGTGTTATGTTGCTTTTCCATGACAGTAGTCAGTGTTGATTTAGCATTAGTATGAAGTTTATGAAAAGTGCACGCTTCATAGAGCACAGCTATGCGAGTCATCGGCCATGAAACCTCATTTTTCATAAAATTCATAATTTGTATGAACGTGTCGGCACCACTGGAAGCTACCTTCCAAATACCTCGAACATTGTGGAACTGTGGTTTATAAATAGCTGTCAGTATTAGTAGAAGAAACGTAAGACATAAAATGTTGCAGTTACGATGTATTTATCTCCATTCTTAATGTACTTAACAATTATGTAACATTTAGGTGTACCTTGAACTTTTTCATAGTACATGTAGTTAATGCAAATTCAGCTGAAGTCATCAAAAGTGTAACATGGTGTTAAACGGATTGATTTGTACAGAACGAATTTAAGAGACTTGTTCTGCTGTAGGGCACAATACCATGCTTTACATTTAATAGTATTTTCTAATGTTTATGACAATCCAGAACTATAATCATAATATTGGGACCAACTCTTAGGGTGTGTGCAGGAAGTAGATAAGGGTGGTGGAAGGAATCGGTGCAATTAACATTGTTTTGTGCAAAAACGTGAACATACAAAATGTATCATTTTCAGAGTGAATGACTTGATTATATATTTTTATATTGTACTATGTGATAAGTAAAATATTTGTAAATGTTGAATTGTTTGACTATACCTGACAAGTTCACAAGTCGTGGTATGTATGTGTACATGTGCACTGTATAGTGTAGTCATGTCGTATGTACATGCACATGTATACCATAGTTCTTCAAAGAAGCTACACTTGTAATTTAAATGTTTGATGTTATGCCAAGTGCAGGTTACAATAGTTGATGTGACAGATTAGTTCGTAAGTGCAGGTCTGTCATTTTCTCAGCTCCCAAGCATACTTGAGGGTCCATAATGACTGATTTTTTTAAGGGCTACAAATGAGACTTAATCAGACAAAGTTATTGTAAAATTTATTTATTCTTGTATCTGTAAGGGTGTTAGGGGAAAATTGTGCAATTAACATGCTGCATTGTAATCAGACAGAATTTGACTATGTATTATGATGGTTTCTATTCTCAGAATTAAAGTATATGTTTCTACTTGTGTATGTTCGTTGTGGGATTTGTAAACATAAAGGAGACCTTGGCAAATTACGTTAACCCTGTAGTGCGTGCAAAAAGGAAGGGTGGTCAGTGATAGTTTGTCACCTCACCATATGATTGTGAAATACTACTATTGAAAGGGTACAGAGTTCAATGTGCATAAGGGCACAGAGTCAAAAGTGCCTAGGTGTACAGAGTTGAAAGTGCGTAAGAGTACAGAGTAAAAGTGCATAAAGCACATAAAGTGCCTATTAGTAGTAGTGTGCAGAGTTGATGGTAATAAGGGAGCCAAATTGACAGAGGTTCTGTGCTCTTCCCTCCAGGCTACATGAGTGAGAGATTGGTTAGTTGTGTTATACAGTGTCATAACTGTGTCTGTAGGATCGTTCCTAGTTAGATAATACAGCCAGAGTAGAACCACATGTCACTGTGCACATCGCTGTACCTGCAAGGTAGACAACTGGTTCAAGACTGTCACTCCTAAATCTCAAATCTCCATCCTAAACCTTTGCTCCTCCAGTAGCCTTCTTCTAGAAACTTCGAGATAGCTTAATGCATGCCCTGGAGACACTTGTCTTCAACATGGCGATAAATACGTACAATGTAACTGCTCAGAGCCCAATGTGTATGCTAACCTGTGTGATGTGTAACAGTGCACTCTCTAAAACTGCCTGCTAACGGTAATGTCAACTAACCAAACCACTGGCATGGTCAATAAACTGTTGCATGATCTTGGCCTGATCAACAATCAAAGTATAAGAACCACACAGTGGATTCTCCTACCGTAATTCCACTAATACCTGCAGCGGTATAATGGGAAGTGATGTGTCCTGACGGTGCTTTTCGTGCATGTACAGGCCCCCCGACCACACCCCAGGCCACCCTCCGCACCACCGGCCCTGGGGAGACCACCTCCCCCACCACGTCGCCTGTACCACTCCCCAGTCAGACGGACCCCCCCGGGGTCCAGCTGGGAGAGCCGCCCGAAATGCCCCTGGGCAAAGTCGAGCAGACAGTGGTCAAGCCGCCCCCTGGTAAGGCCCTGTCGTTCTGACCTTCTAACAATGGTGGCAGCAAGATTACTGTGTTGGGTAGAGTTTCTGTCTCTCAGCTCTTCATTTGTGCTCTTTCTTCCACAGACGTGACAAAACAAAGGCGTTCTGTTGGCTCACAACACGATCGTTTGTTCTGTCTGTGTTTGTTCTCTGTTCTGTACGCAGCCAAGATGTTCCAGGCGTTACTGTTTAAGACACTTTTCTTTCCTTTCCTTGTGTGTCGGTTTTGTGAGTGTGTGTCTCCGTGGAAAAGTGCTTGCTGTTGTGCGGTCGATAAAAGTGCCAGCCTCGCTTCACACTAACCAAGCCTCGACAATGGCTAACCCATCTCTCAACACAAACCATTCATGCCATGTAGTGCCCCCCTCCTCTCCGCTACAACCCCCTCCCCCCTTCCGGCATGCCCGTGCCTTGTAACGTCCACCCCTTTCAGTTCCACCCCCCTCCCTTCCCTGCATGATTTTGCCTTGTGGGATCTTGCTTGCTACCATTGTAGAGGAGTTCGACGGGCCATGGCTTGAGTCAATGCATGCATAAATCGGTCCTGAGGGCGTTCGGTTGTTTAACCTGCCATTCCAACGTTCATCTTCACATTTAACCCGTCATGTGCCATGGACATGAGTACATGAGTCATCTGTAGTGGCACTGGGTGGTGGTAATGGGTGGGAAACTGGTGTGACCAACAAACCAGCACACTGAAAACCATCCGTGTCGTCACCTCTAATTTCAGTCATTATTGACTCATTATTCCATATTACCAGTAGCACTAATTTCATATGTTTTGTATGTTGATAACAGTTGCGTTGTATTGTTTAACGTTTGACACATGGTGAATTATTTGGTTGGTGGGTGATTGTAGATCTATACTGTCCAGGCCATGTCTGATTGTATTTAGAATCAACACATGTGTTTACTGGGGGAGGGGGGAATCTGCATGTTTCCCACAACATGGTATGAATTCCTGAATTCCTTTCTGAACAGGTGACTAAATGAAACGTCCTGACTGTTAGTCAACATCCTCTGTCCCGGAGAAAGCTTGATACAGCTTGACTCCAAATGCTAAGTCTCCACCAGACTACAAACACTGAAAAATAGTGAAATAGGGAGAATGATTTGCCAGGAGAGTTTGGGCACAGTGTCATTTATCTGCGCAGTGTTACCCTTACTGCGGGCTCACTCTCCTTGCCAATTATTGACCCTATTTTTGCTGATTTCTACTATCCAGATTCCCTCAGGAAGGCCTGGTGGAGGCTATCAAACGTTCACAAGTATCAGCTGTGAGTCCGAACACCGAATAGTAAAGTAAACAAATGCCAAACATCCCAAGACAAATCCAGGTCCCCTCACCAGACCAGTAAAAGTTTCCGACTGCATCTTGTTGTCACATGGCATACACGTTCCCATGGCAACACTTCCTGAACTTTCCTGGTTTAGAAGGGAGGAAGGACTTTTCTAAAGAAGCAGAAGGTGAAAGAAAAAATTAAAATGAAACAGCAGGTGTCACACTAAATACAATCAGACACCTGTGCAGAAAGGTGAAGCTACAGCTGACCGACTTCATTACCAGTAGACGTGTAGATGATACTACAGAATTTTTCTGTCTTCAGCTTTTTTCTGTTCATCTGAAGCTTGAGCATGAAGCAAATTGCTATTTCAGATCCTTTTCTTGCTGCCTAAACAAAAAGCTTATATCTGTACATTGCAGTAAAGCTGTAGTATGCATACTAAGGAAACATGTATCGTATGATGCACATTCAATGTAGGGTTTTCCCATACAACCGCACCCTATGTCATAGATTTGCTCCCAAGAAATGGGAGTAGTGCTGCTCTGTATAGACACCCAAACCTGATAGCTCTGCTGTGGTGCTTTTTGGTCCGTAGGTGGTGAAACTGCACTACTGTAGGTAATGAAATTGAAAATGCTGCTGTGTCTTATCCTCTGTTTCTGTTTCTTCCCCAGACTTGCATGTGTCGTCCCAGGTTGGTTCTTACCCCGGCGGTTCCCCCACCACCCTCGCCCTGGCCATCGTGTTTTCCGTGATCGGCGGAGTGATACTCGGCGTGCTGGTGACATACTGCGTGGTGTGCCGACAGGGAGGGAAGGATTCCCACGAGAGCCGCACGGTGGTAGAGGTTCCCGCGTCTCCTCCGCGCGAGAAGAATGAGTTCCAGAAGAACGGCTCGCTGAACAACCTGGCTGACACCTGCAACTACATCAACAACACCAAGAAGCAGGACAACTACAAGGTACGCAACGAGAACTTCAACCACAACCAGAACGCCAACGGGTCACCTTCCTCCGTCCCAAACGGCACAATTCCGAATGGTTCCCCCGGGCAGATGGCCTCCATGCACGTGAAAGACTCGGACATCCGCAGAGAGAGTCTGATTGACCGCGAGCGGATGAGTGGGTACACCACACTGGATCGGGACATGACCACCTCCAGGAAGCTGCCGGGCGTCCCCTCTGACACGTCACCGAAACACCGCTACTCCAGGGCACACGGCCCTATCAACCCTAACGAGTACGACATGGGCGAGTTCATCACCCCTCCGAAAGTGCCCAGCAAACAGACTCTGCCCCCCAGGGTGCCGCCCAAGGCCGGGACACTCGGGAGGGATGGCAGGCCCAAGCCCATGGGCCCCAAGCCAGTCCCTCCTCCCAAACCTCCCCAGTTACGGATGCAACAGCACCATCATCACAGACACGCAGACTCGTAGGGGGGTGGACAGGGGGGGGGTGAATGGACAGATTGGACTTGTTTTTACAGAAAAAAATGAAATGAGGAAGAAAAAAAGATGGACTGACGTAGAGTTGAACTCGGAGGTGTACAGGATGGACTGCAGGATGGACTGCAGACCACACGCGTGTGTATGTGTGTGAGAGACGTTCCCGAGCGGACACAATATGGGGCTGCGAGACAGCACCCCAGGATTGCAAGTAGCTCAAATCACTGGCTGGGTCAGGGTTTGTGTAGGGCCATGGTTTTTCTTTGTCGTCTGCTCCACTTAGACAAAGTTCTGCTGCACATCGACATCCGCCATGCCCAATGTGCCGTCAGCAAAGTGACCAGTTTGACTCACTGTGACGTCATCTGCCAGAGGGTTAACGCATGTTGCACTACAGACATAGGCAACATGGTTGCCAAGGTTGACAGACACAGTTCGGGCAGGCCCAACCTTTCTGTATTACCAATAAGTATACATGTAGATGAATCTCCCTTCAGCCGTCGATGTGGACTGAACTCGGTGTCTAAGTGGAGCCATTGGCCAGCTGTGACTGCACACTGCCGTCTTTTTTCCAGTTATGGTTGTGCGACATCATGACACCATTTCATATCCATGTATGGAGATGGGCCGATGTACTAACATGCCTGCCACGGCACTTAAATGTTGTACAGTCATTGAAATGTGTATGTATATACTTATATAATTTTATCACATCTTTGCTATTATGTCACATTTTAATGTTTCTTTCCAATGTAAATATTATGGCTTTAGTTTTGTACCTAGCAATGCAAGTGCCTCAGACTCTGAGGGTCAGAACCCGTATTGTAACACACCGTTTGGTTTGGGTTGAATGTGACGTTTTTCTGTTCCTCAGGAGAGAAGTTAAACTTCATATCCTCCTGCTGCCCAGGAAAAAGGGACCCCGTAGTCTGGTGTTAGATTGACACCCAGAAAACACACCTGATTTTGGGACCATAGTTTATCTGAATATTTTATGGAGTGCTCTCTTTCCTATTCCTACAGACAAAAGTCTGTTTTCCTCATTTCATAGAGAGCAAAAATGGGGAACAAAAACAACAGCCAATTTGGTCTGACTGGTCTGGTGATAGCTTCTTAGGTTGTTTTTGAATTAACCCCAAATATGGTATTTCTGACTACTTCCCATATGGGTAGAACTATCAGTGATATTTCCAACACAAGTAAGACTAGTTACTAATCATGGAAGTTCTGCATGTCCACCAGCAAGAAAGTAACATGTGTTTCTGAGTTTGTACCATGACCGTCCTTCCTCCAACATGACATCCTGTCGACTGTGTTCGACACCGACATTCTTGTTGCTGACACCTTTGTTGCCAGTGACGACTGTACATAGCAAATGCATTTTTGTTGTTTCCCGCCATTGTTGCCAAGGTCTGTCATTTGAGCCACGCTTGCACGTGTGGGAGTGAAGTGTGATGATTTTTCTGGCCCGTAAAAGTAAGTAGAATTCTCCATTAGACCAGCTCAGTAAGGGAGAGACAGACTGACAGTTCCAAACCTCTTACAGGGACAAACATTTGTATCACGTACATGTAACAAAGAATGCTACAGACTTGTGTGTGTCATTTCTCTTACTACACAATTGGGCAATTGTTCCCTCCTGAACAAGGTTGTCCCCAGGTTGTCCTGATGGTTGCACCACCAATTACAGACTGGATTGTCTACCAAGTGGTGAAAAGGTTTTTGCTATTTCTAGGTTGAAAATATGAAAATAACGTCTTTTAGACAACCAGAAGACAGCTTTGCTTCTGGGGTGAAGCTACCCCTGGGGACAACCAACCCCACCCCTGGGGTACAACCCTGCTGCTGAAACATGTCAGAAAACTGAACTCTAGTTACAGATATCTCAGCTGATAGTGACTCCAGGAGGTCTAGACACGTGTGTATGTGGGAATTATTTCTAGCTGCGGGACAAACCATCAGTCTAGGGGTGTATCTAACAATGGAAATACTGTATTTAATAAGATATCGTCCCTAATGAAATGTATAATTAGATTGTCATGAAACATAGAAATGCTTCCCTTTTAAGTGATGGTCTGTCCCGACATGTTTATGCCGTGTCTGGTTGTACAAATCTCGAACTAATCAGAAGTATCAGACGAGTTTTATTTTTGTATGCGAGCATCGGAAGGCTAGCTTAGTCCACTAGAATCACGCTTGTAGGAATAGAGTCCGTACCGCTGGCTGGCTAAGTTACCTGAATACTGCCATGAAAACCGCTGATGCTGTAGAGCCATTCACTGCCGTGAAACCAGGCTTTTCACTGCGGTGGAACTAGGCTTGTCTAGCCGTTCTTTTCTGCTATTAAAAAGTCTGAGTTAATTATCAAGTCTCTGCTTGTTTTTTTGTTCATTGAATAATTATTGAATGAGTTTATTGGTAAGTACTTCCGAAATACTACCTTATGACATTTTGCTCTCTATATAATATTGTTGGTAAAAGTGCTGGTTGTCAGAGAGTGGGACAAGTGATGTAGGAATGTAATGATCCATTCCCTCCACTCAGCCACACAAGCCTGCTGTACAACTCTCGGTCACACTTATTAATGGTGCTGTCCTTGGTGCTGAACTCGTGGACCAGCTGAAGATCCCAAATTTCCTTGGACAGGCTAACTCCACTCTAGTCTCTGACAGACCTTAACTAGAGTAGGAACTATGTAGGTGTAGTAAAATGTCATAATAGCTTCAATGTATTCCTTAAATGGATTCATTGTGAGAGATAACGAGGACGCATAACTGGCAAACCACCTTAACGCGTAACACACCCGTTTTTTTAGACCATGTAGGCATTATATTTATCCCTCCTGGGAATTCAAACCCAGAACCTTTGGATTCTAAGTTACCAAACCTAATTACTTCCCAATTAGGGAAGGACGAGTGTAAAAAGTAATACAAAAGAGAAGACGACTGACAACCAGAATGTGGTGGCAACTGCAAATCTATTCAACCTACGAACAATAAACATAAACCTTAACGCAAGAAGGAATAGGGCTTCAGAAGAATTTCACATGATTTTCTTTAATTGGTTGGAGTTACAGGTGTGACTGGATTTAGTTACAGGCATGACTGGAGTTACGTGTATGACTGCAGTGATGTTGTACATGTGTATGTCGTGGCGTACAGGGTTCTTTGTGTATGACATTGTGTGTGTGACTGACATAAGACCGACAGTTTTGCGATGTACTTTTGCTTTGTCAAATTGTGACGAGCTTGAACGTTGTAACATATTTCAAATGGCTGGATAGGTATTTCTAGAATTGCTCATATCATATACACGTATGCAGCTAGCTCGCTGCAAGCATTCTGCATTCTACAAGCATTCTACATCTCTGAAGTAGCTTGCTTATGTGATCACAAAAAAAATACAAATGTAATGTTATAACATACTTCAAATAAGCTGAGTACTCACATGTATTCACCTCTACATGTGGCCTAGACCCATACATTGTTACTATTAATAATGATTAACTAAGTAACATCTTGAGTAACCATCGTCCTTATCAGGTCAGTAACCAGCATCTCAGCCATCAAGTTTGTTGATACAGTTTTTCTACCGTTCATTAGGTAAAGTCTACCGTTTCGAAGGTAACTAAACCAGAGACGAGGTGTTGTGTGGTAGTACTCTTGGTACTCCTCCAGCCGTACAAACTCGTCCGTTGGAAAACTCCCGTCGCGAAGCACCCACGCGGTTTTCAGCTCATACTGGTTACTAATCATAATAACAAATTACAAATAGCCATTTTTGTTCATAAAATCGTTCATAATACCAATAGTTAACCAGATCAATTCACACTTTTTTTTACATTCAACTCAGACATTCACCAGCACAATACGAGACAACATAACCAATTAAGGCCGATCAAGACTAAATCCACACAAAAACAATTCTCAATAGCGTATAGAGGCCCCATCGTCTGGAACAAGTTAAGCCAACTGTTACAAAACTGCCAGTCAACTCCTCGATCCTGTATTTAAAAAACTTCTCAAAAACTTTTTCTTACAAAACCCCAGTACAACTACAATTTGATTTGTTTGTTTTCCTTGTTATTGTTAATATTTTGTTTTAATCGTTAATTCTTACGTTAATTATTTATTCAGTTTAATCTGTAACAGCTACCTGAATTACAGGTATAAGACTTTTGTTTAATTTCGTTTTAGTTAGTTTATACACTTCAGTTATTATTTCTGTGTCTTGATTTCGTTTAATTAATCATTGTTTAATTATTTCATTGTTTAATTTTGATGTTTAATTTAAATATGTTTTGTCATAAGTTATCTTTGCTTGGGGTAGGCCTCTAGAAAAACCACCCAGGTTTCTGGCCTACCCCGCACATTCTTTAATTATTATTATTTGATTGTGTAATTGTTTTTGATATACGTGCAAATGGTAAATAAACAATAAACAATAAACTTATCACCCTGATGACTTCTTTATAACCTGGGTTCTGCTTCACTAATCCGTCCGATGATGAAGTTGAGAGAACATCTTGCATGTTGCCGGATTCTTGAAAGGAAGTCACTTCCTCAGCCATGGGTCTTATCTCTTGTGTGTCTGGCAAGCAGGCCAGCATAAGTACGAGTAGTCTGCCAGCCGATTGCACAACTCTGCTGTATAGGCACTAAAGATCACGAAACCGCTGTACTGTGACCTCAACTAAAGGAGTTTAATCATAGTAAGAACAGTTTGGTGGCCCCTTCAACGTAGGTGGACAAGAAAGGCAAGACACTAATCTTTCAACTTTCACCTCTGACCTGGACCAAACTTGCCCAACCAGGTCCGCTGAAGAGGTGCTGTGGCAGACGCCTTCAGTTTTCCACGGGATGTGACTAGAAGAGACTAAATGTGACAACACTTTCCGTGACTACAAGACTGATCCCTCGCTTGTATTTATATAGGTAAACTGAGTTCCGTTTTCAAAGAGATAGACAGGACTGTCTTAGAATTGATTAAGAATCTTTAACAATGATCAATTCCACTTTTAACGTCTTTCATACAGGCACATGCTGTACATGGCCATCTTCAGATGAGTCAAACAACTGCTCGGGAGTATTCAGTAAGTTTACAAAAAATACCTTGGTTTTGTTATAACGTTACCTTTATTAATGTAATTGTCAACAATCCGCGAAACTTAATACACCTAAGCTCCTGTACCTGACAAGAATGGCGATAAGATTGGCTTGTTTACAATCCGCAGGTGGTTGTTGATAATCCGCAGGTGTTAAGTTTACAATCCGCAGATGTTCGTTTACAAATCGGCACAGGCGTTTGTTTACAATCCGCAGATGTTTGTTTGTAATCCGTAGGTGTAGGACAACATGTTTCTGGCGGTGCTGGGTGCGTCTGGGCAGACAGGTAAGTTATTATATCGACCTAAGGTTGTTTTCGGTGGATGAAGTGTAACAGGTGGGCCAGTGTTGTCTGGTGAAGTCTAGTTAGTTGGGAGTTGACCACGCACATACTACATTTGTACTAGTCATAAGTTGCATACTATTAAAGTTGGAGGGAAGAGCGGAGGTATAAAACGGAGTAGCTTTAGCGTTCGCGATCTGATTTCTGGCTATGTTCCTGAGGTACGCTTAAGATTCACACATTTTTGTCCACTGGCTGCATATATATTGCGGTGTAGCTGAAACGTCGATGGAGGTTAGACGCTAGAAAACAGTTACTGTATAGCAACTGGATAGATTTTGAAAACTGCAAGCTGTTTCAAGTAGCACCCGCTACTTTTCGTAATTGAAATGTAATCAGCCCCTCCCTTGAGGTAACCGCGCCCTCCCATCCCAGGCGTCCACCTGGTGCAGCGGGCCCTGGATAAGAAGCACCGGGTCCTGGCGCTGGTCCGGGACACGGACAAGATGAACGGCCTGGTGCGGGACGACAGCCTGGAGGTAGGGCAATTCACGACAGGGGGCGCTGCTCATGATTTCCTTTGGTGATAGTCAAAACCGGTGACCGCCTATACATACATAAGGACCACCTGACCAATATGACCACTTGCACTAAGGAACCTGATTATGGTGACCACCTGTCCACATAGACCAATTTTATTGGCCCCTTAATAGCCAAAACGATAATAATCTTCACAATACATGTATCTGAGGTTGCCCTTCCAACTGTCCTTTATATATCAGCAAATGTATCAGTTGTGGGGATGCCGCTGGTTGGTTTGGCAGGTTGTTCAAGTTGGCCAAATTTGGTTTCACAGGTTGTCCAAGTTGACGTCATGTCGGAAGATTCCATTGCGGCGCAGCTGGAGGGGAGGGAATTGGACGTGGTGATTTCCTGTCTGGGCCGGACGGACCGGAAATCACGTGAGCCCAGCACGTTTCACAGCGACTCCATGCGGGAGGTAGTGGGAGCAATGAGGAGGGCAAAGGTCAAGCGACTGGTCTGTGTGTCCTGCTGGTGGACTGTCAGTAAGTTTCCTTCTCCGTCTCTTCGTGTTCTAAAACGATGTCATGATTATCATCCCCAATTGAAGCCGTGCACCTAAAATTCTGCCCAAATCTTCTTGTAACCTTGCTGTGATGGCTGAATTAGGGAGATATCCCATGAGGTTAGAAGCGTCACTCAACGCCGTCACTCAACACTACCTCAGAATACGCCAGAACTTGCCAGCTGACAGTCTCTCTGCAGACGCCCTTTTGTGCCAATTTGATTTAGATGCGGTAGGTGCCAAATGCTGGGCTGCTGGTGTTCGTAAGACACTAGAGGAAAGCGGTTTTGCCTATGTTTGGCATTCGTCCTTGTCTTCTACCTTCAATTTGCCCCAAATTAAATCTTCCATCAACCAACGTCTTAAGGACATGTATCTCCAATCTTTTATATCAGAAATGCGGAACAACAACAAATTACGGACATACAGATTATTAAAAAATACTTACCACGAGGAAAATTATCTGAAAATTACAAACATTCGACACAGAACAGCCTTCACAAAACTCCGGATAAGTTCACACAAACTCCACATAGAAAAAGGCAGACACAACCGCATTCCTCTAGAGCAAAGGATTTGCCAATTTTGCGATTTAAATAAGATTGAGGATGAGTATCATTTCGTAGTCAATTGTACGTTATATAGTAATGAGAGAGATTCCCTATATTCTTATATAATAGATAAGTTCCCCAGCTTTGCACATTTAAATGAATCAGAAAAATTCCTATTTCTTATGGAACTTGACAAACCATGTATCACTAATTCTATATGCTCGTACATCTATAACTGTGTCAAGAAGCGAGAAGAAGTCGAACAATGTAAATAGTAGATCACATTAGTATGTATAGTTTAAGTATCACTGCTGTATCCATTTCCTTGTCTATCCATGACCTGTACTTAGCTTGTTAGAGCACAAACGTACAATAAAGGTCTTTCATTCATTATCCAGTCGAGAACTCGTCTGTAGTCGACAGCGATTCTTTTCTCAGTTTTGATGACCTGTTACCCAGTGTACCTGTTAAATCGAAATGTAAAGGGCTCTTATTTGCACACCAAAATATACGGAGTCTTGTAAGGAAGAAACCCCAGCTAGAGTCATTCCTAGACTGCAGTAAAACTGACGTTTTCGCTGTGACTGAGACTATGCTGGATGACAGTATCACCGATGCTCTTATCTCTATTGACACATACAATGTACTTAGAAATGATCGTGGAAGTCGGCATGGAGGCGGCGTAGCTCTCTACATTTCGAACAAAATTCCATTTAAAGCTCGTCCTGATTTGGAGATCCCAGGCCTTGAGGCTGTATGGGCTGAACTCATCCCACCCTCCCGTAAGAAAATATTAATCAGTAGTATGTACCGCCCTCCATCCGATGACCATCAATTTTTCGACAAATTTGATGAATGCATGAATAAAGTTAGTGACGAGGATAAGGAAGTTATAGTGATGGGTGACCTGAATTGTGACTGGTCAACTACTGACAACTCAGGTCCAATAGGTAAACTAAGATTTTCATGTGCACTGTACCAGATGGACAACATCATATCCTCACCAACTAGAGTCACTGACACCTCCAGCACCTCAATAGACGTCATCTTAACAAATGACAAAACACACCTGCACAATCAGGGGACCTACGAGGGGGGGTTTAGCGATCATGCCATGATCTATACTTACCATAGAAGCAAGGGTCCTAGGTCACAATCCACAGTCATGAGCAGGAGGGTTTATAAATCTTTCAATGAAGAGAAATTTAGACATGATCTAGCACAGGTACCCTGGAACACCATAGACACTTTACCAACCATTAACGAACAACTAGAAGTATGGGAGGACTTTGTTAGTGGTGTTGCCAATACTCACGCTCCCATTAAGAAAGTAAAGATTAGAGGTACACCTGCACCCTGGCTGACTAAAGACCTACGCCACCTTATTGGCCTTAGAGACCACATGTACCGACAAGCGAAACGTTCTGGTAATAGTGAGGACTTTACCAGCTACAAGACAATGAAAAACAGAGTTAACTATTTGTGCCGGATTGCTAAAAAGGATCATGCTGCTCAATCGATAATCCAGGGGGCTGAGGAGGGTCAGACGGGGATTTGGAAGGCCATTCGTAAATTGCTTCCCAGCAAGTCACCAAACACTATCACTTGCCTAGAATATGAGGGCCAGAGTACCTCTGATAAGCAAGGAATGACTGGGATACTCAACACTTTCTTCCATAAAGTCATAGAGGACTTGTACGAGTCCCTCTCAGTGACACTTTCACCTTTCTCACCCGTCCAGTTTGTTGAGAAAGCAACCAGCACTTTCGCCTTCTCACCAATCACAGTTGAATTTGTCACAGAACAACTGTCACAAGTCAAGTTGAAGAAGGCCACTGGCTTAGACAACATTGACAACAGGTTGCTAAAAGTGGGGGCACAGATTCTTGCCCCGTCTCTTACTAAGCTGTTTAATAAATCACTCGACACTGGCGAATTCCCGACAAAGTGGAAGCAAGCAAAAATCACGCCCATCTATAAGAAGGGGGACAAGACCAGCCCCAGTAACTACCGCCCCGTGTCCATACTTCCTGCAATTTCTAAGATACTAGAAAGAGCAGTACATAACCAACTCTATGACTACCTCAACAAAAATAGACTTTTGACACAGTCTCAATCTGGCTTTAGAAAGACCCACTCATGTGAGACTGCACTACACTCAGTCGTTGAGGATTGGATCGGTTCAATGGACAGAATGCAACAAACAGGTGTCATTTTCTGTGACTTGTCACGGGCTTTCGATACACTCGATCATAATATTTTGTTGCTTAAACTTAAACTATATGGTATAAACAAAATGTCTTGCAAATGGTTCAGGTCTTACCTGACAGGTAGGTCTCAGCGTACATGCCTTGAGGCGGTACTGTCCAAACCTTCACCAGTAACTTGTGGCGTACCTCAAGGGTCTATCCTTGGCCCACTTCTTTTTATCTTATATATCAACGACTTGCCAAACTGTATTCAGCTATGCAAGATAGCGATGTATGCAGATGATACTATCATATATTTTGCACACCGGAATGTACAGACAATAATGCAGACAATTCAGAGTGACTCAGTTCGGCTTGTGCACTGGTTCACTGCAAACAAACTCTCACTTAACCCCTCAAAATGCAAATCTATGCTTGTGGGGACACATAGGGCCAAAGCCGCCACAAGAAGTCACCTTCACCTCACATTATCAGGCACAGAGCTAGACCAGGTGAATACTTTTAAGTATCTAGGGGTCTTTTTAAATAGCTCGTTACTATGGAACGACCACATCTCGCATGTTACTAAAAAATTGTCTCAGACAATTGGCATCATGAAGTCTTTGAAACCATTTATTAACACAGAAGCTTTGCTGACAATATACACATCACTGTTCCTCCCCCACTTACAATACTGCAGTACTGTCTGGGATCAAGGTAGCAAGGAATGTATAGACAAACTTCAGAAACTACAGAACAGGGCAGGAAGGGTGATACTGGGGTGCAATCGCTACACACCTATCGACACTATACTGCACAATCTAGGTTGGACACCTGTGATTGAATTACACAAGAGGAACAAAGCAGTGCTTGTATTCAAGGCTCTGAATGGCTTGTCCCCTCCTCACATCTCGGATCTCTTCACACAGCTCAGGGAAGTTCACTCATACAATACACGCTTAAGAGCACAGGGGGGACTACAACTGCCTAAGGCTCATCTACAATACAAAAGAATCCTTGTCCAGTACTGGTGCAGCTCTTTGGAACGCTCTCCCATCTACATTGAAAACAGCAGCTTCCGTCGCCTCGTTTAAGCGTTTGTATAACCAGAATGTTCTCGCAACATAGTAACCGTTACTTTTTGTTTGTAACATTGATATGCAAATTTCCATTACCTTCTTTATTTATTTCATTTGTTGCATTTTATTCGCTTGTTTCATATAAGTTATTAGTTTACCGTATGATTTTGAAGCACTTTACCAATATGTTATTTTTGCAATTAAGCTAATTGTACCTTTGTTTTCCTGTTTGTTATTTTAAGCTAATAAGTATTTTTGTAAATGTATATGTCCGCAGGGAACATTGAAAAACGCCCTTGCGGCGACATGTTTACCCTGGGTAAATAAAATAAAATGAAATAAATGAAAATGAAACATCCCACGCGCCTTGTTCGTACCTGGTTGTCATAAAGATGTTTAATACTAGTACTGCGTTGTTCAGATAGTCTACTACATATGCTAGGTAGGTAATCCATGGTGCGTTGTAACACAAGGAAGTTTAAATCTCATTGGTTGTAGTAAAGTTGCAGTGATGCGGTATAGCCCCTTGTGGCCCCGCTGTAGTGTTAAGATGTAACCGATGAAGTGCTGCTGCTGATAAGGCCATGTTGATTTGATTATATGAATGACATCCTCTGGGAACCCCAAAACAATTGCGAGCGTGCGAATAAAAAAAAACGTTTGGCAAAAAAGTTAACTTCGACATTATAAAATCTACGTGGTTATAAAGGTTGAACAAATGACTAAACACACAGAGTATGGTATGGCGAATAATAATGGCTCTTCATTTTCATTTCTTCGCATTTTCATATTTTCCTGAGTTCCTTTCGGCATTCTAACACATGAGTATGGTTTTCGAAAACTTTTTTTTCAACATACGACATATAGTCGCTCATTTTGTACGATTTACAGTATGGTCGAAAACTTTTTAAAATTTTTTTAATCTAGCATGGCCTAAGTTGTAACCGTTGTGGTGCTAAGCTGTAACCGCTGTAGTTCTGTAACCGCTGTTGTTGCATGTGTCAGGTTGGCCGCAGGACGGGCGCCCCTGGTGGTACCGCTGGTTCGTCCAGAGCGGCTGGAGCGCCACTCACGAGGATCTGGCGGAGATGGAAGAGTTCATCACCATGTCCTGCACAGACATCAACTACACCATCGTCAAACCGCCCATCTTCCTCACGGACGGGCCAATGGACAGTACGTGCAGAACGTTTCCTGGCGCAATAAATGTTTCAAACCTCGAACATTTGTGACCAGCGTATTAATGACAAACACGAGCACGATCGCAACAGACACCATGACCCAATGAACGATGCCGTTGGACATAAAAAGATACAGACGAATGTTTCAGCAAATTTCACGGCCTCCTTCTGTTTGACTGCGGCCCACCTTTGGACTTTTAAACCTCCACTAGCCCTCCATGGCAGTTCACTGAAGGCTGGCGGGCCCTAATCTCCTTATTTACTCTTGAAGTGATCCTGCTCCTTCCTATAACATACATCTTCTTATAAAACATTTAGACATGTTTCCCTACAGCCAGTTTAAGTTAACTGTAACTGTAACATTAACAGCCAGTTTAAGTTAACTGTAACTGTAACTATTACAGATAATTTAACACATTATCTGTAACATCAAAACATACAGACCGCAAGGTGTTTTCTTTATTTTCCAGCCCGTGAACTGAAGGCGGCCCAGTTGGAGCAGGTTCCCTTCTCCGGCTTTCGACCGAGTCTGTCCAGAGCCAACTTAGCTAGGTAAGCGCCAGCCTGAACTGAAGCAGGGCAGGTAAACCGCTAACTTGACTTGACTATGCAATTAATCCGCAAGGGGGCGTGAGGAGGACGCAAAGGGTGCTTGAAATTACTAGCACCTTTGCGAGATTGACGACCAGGCTTGAATTGAAGCAACCACCATGCGTGTGTCGCGGGAGCATCTGATTGGATGGCGACTTACCAGAATGACGGTTTACCAGAGTCCGTACTTGACCGTTTATTGGTGCGTTTGGTTATACTCAGTGTCAACGGCCTATACTCAGTGTCAACGTAGTTACAAGGATGAGATGTTATGTGATCAGAGAGATTTTGTCATGAACTTAAGGTCTTATCCTATGAAGCAAATCCAATGTCAAAGTGAACTTTTGAACCGGTTCAACGTGCAGGAACCGATCTTAACTCAGTTCTGTTTTTTCCTCAGATTCCTCCTTTTCATCCTCGGCACTACCAAGTGGAACAGTAGAAAAGTCGCAGTCCTGTGAAGCTGAACGGAGGAGGTGTTTTTCTTTAATTCACCGTTAATCCTAATCGGCTCGGTGTAATCCAACGTTAGGCGTTGTCGGTGAATCATGCTTGTAGCGTAATTGTCGCTTTAATTCGAAGTAGCACGTTATTTGGTATTCTGAATCCGTGGTCAAGCATATAGCGTCAAATAGTTTGTTTTACGGAATCGAACGCCAGAATATGCTCCCCCATGCAGACCCACACTTCGTATTTACTGACCCTCACCTCTGTGATTATTGATGATATTGTCTTGACGATAAATAGTGCGTTCGTTTGTTTTAGTTGATGTCAAATATCTGCATTCTACATCCTGTAGGCAGCAGGGCAAACCCTTCAGCTAACGGCTGGATAGTTGGGCAGCTGTGTCCTATGCTGGGGCCAAGTCAATAAATAAATGCAAATTAAACTGAATTATGTTTTATTACATGCTTGTTGTGATGGACGACAGGCCTCTTGACCGTAATGGTAGAATGGCCTTCAATATTTGCCTTATTTATTTTACAAAATGGCTTGTGAGGTTTAGATGCTACACAAAGACATGGTTGGCTTACGTGTACTTGTCAACTATGTAATTGTTTATTTTCTATTCCGAGCTTTTCTTCTATTATGCCTCTACAAAAGAGCCAACACACAACAAAAAGCAGGAGTGACCCGGCGATCCGTAGCGAAGCCGCATTGCACTAGATACTTGAAAAAGCAGTGCTTCACCTCAGTTTAGGATGGCGAAAGATGTCTCTGCTCAATGTAGACTGTCCTCTAGCGGTTCGCATACGAAATGAAAGCGGGTCAGCGTGGGTATAAGCCCGCGTTCTTTCAACTCGTTATAGATGATAATTCCCTGCTGTTTAAACTCTGCTCACCAACCGAGCAGGGATTGTGCATACTTTATTGCATATCTATGACAAATATCACATTTCCCGTGTACATGCTGCTAAAATGAAAGCTGACTTGTAAAAGAAAATGTTACGTCATATTTCAAAGTTAACGCTGAATACGTACAAACATTTTCGCTATATGCTGAGTTGCATTAGAACTGCTACTGGGCTAAGCGGTCCTTAGGGCGTGCCAGTGGAGCCATGGCCCACTGTTTAATGTTCATTTGCACGGTGAAGTGAATAGGCATGTATTGTACACTCTGGTGTATATACGGTAAATATCGCCCGTTCTTGTCACTGCCAACTCTCCGTGCACAACAGTAGGTGTTGAACATTCATACGCTTATCTTACATGACGTCATCACTGGGAGCACATGCGACAAAGGTTACAGAACACCGCGTATACAGGTTACTGATATGCCAGAGAGACCTATGGATTGTGACGATTACATTCAGATAAAGCTGATATCTTGTAGCTAGTGTGTAGAAGATCCAGTTCTTAGCGACAGTCTATGAGTTCGTTAAGTCGTTGCCTGCTGTGTTGCTGACAGTGGTTCAGTAGTGTACATACAAGGTCCAAGGATATGGCGTGCAGCAGAAATGACTGGTCACTTGCGAACTGTGTCCTCTGTGGAACGACGGTACATTTTTCTCCACGATTAGTTGTATTTTATGATCACCAACAGTTAAAAGCATATCCACAGTTTCCACAACACAAGTCCTTTACTAAATCTGCTTGTTTTTGGTAATACACACATATTTGGCACTATCGCGTTCCTGTGTATCTATTCATTTTGGGGGCCACATGGAGACGGTGACATGGACACGGTAACGTCACGTGAAGACAGCAGTACAGACACAGGACACAATTTCCGCTTTTGTCCTACTATAGAATTTATCTCCATATATGTTGTTTTCATTCGCTCTTACAAGTCATGTTAGAGGGCTCTGTGTGTGCATCTCACATGGCACGTCGAGTTCCGATGATACTTTGGTTGGCAGTCTGACATGAGCAAAGACGAGTCAGCAGTCGCGATTCGAATATCACATCTAGATCTGGAATGATAGTGTTTTGGAAAGACGCTGATTGGCTGTGTAGCAGGTGTGTGGATGGCGCGTTCATATTCCACAGGTGTCAAGAGACGTTCAGAACAGACACGAACAAACATCACTAGGACACGAAAGCAGCTGGCCGCAGCTGTGCAGGACTCCGTAGTGCCGGTACCGCCCTGCTGCCTCAGACCGCTCCCTTCCCCGCCAGCCCCACGAAGAAGTCCCGGACCTGCTGCAGGATGTGGGGCGCCGACATTAGGATGGTTCCGGTCGTCACCAGCGTGAAGACGGCGAAGATCCACAGACACAGGCGGTCCACCGTCATGGCGGCGTATCTCCACTCGTTCGACATCTTGTCGTCCTCGGCCTTGTCGCGGAAGTGGTTGGTGATGTAGCGGAGCTCCTTCAGGATGAGCTGGCCTTCGGCGGACGTCCTTGGGGCGGCGCGGTTGCAGTGCAAGGCGGAGTCGTCGGAGGAGCTGACGGGGATGTTGAAGCCGGAGGCCGGCAGGGCGGCGGGGAAGGTCCGGGGCAGCCGCGGGGACAGGTCGTTACTCAGGCCGGGAGGGAAGTCGTGCCCCGCCTGGAGCGGGAAGTCGTGCCCGACCTCGCGACGCTCCATGGACGCCAGTAGGTTGTGAGAAGACAGCTCTTCCATCGTCTTAAAGGAGTTCATGCTGATGTTGTCAGTTCTCAGAGTGTCCCGGCTCCGGTCCCGGCCGTCCTCTGACTTCTCTTCCCGGCGGGTCGGCATGCACAGCAGGCGGGGCAGCCACTCCAGAAGCACCTTCCTCGTCTGCAAACAAATAAACAAACAAAGAAAGAAAACAAACAAACAAACACACACACACAAACAAACGTGAGCGAGGCCAAGTCATCCTAAGTAAGTGCGAAATCAGGCTCGGGAACGGCTTATATGACAACAACAAAAGAATACAGAAATGGTTGTTTTAGGGTAAAGAACCTTTCAGCTAGCTCAGAACACCCTTGTCATTTGAACCAGAATCTTTCATTTGAAACACTTGTGTGGAGCACGGAGGCAAATTGTCCCTTCATAGTAGGCCCGAGTAGATTGCAGGTGGGACGGACAAAACAAAACGTAAGTTCACGTACCGCGCGGGACATCCGGCTGGTCTCTGGTGAGCGGTGGTGGAAGTTCAAGGTCAGGACAGTCAGGACCACAGACCCCGCTACCATGCACAGCGTCGTGGCGAAGTATTTACCTGATTAGTACAATACAACAAAGTCAGGACCCCATACGCCGCCACCATGCACAACTTCTCACCATTCACAACTTTTAGACAGACAGCCATTCACAACTTCTAGACAGGCAGACAGACGGACGGACAGACAGACTGACGCACATCCCCGAAAACATAACCTTCTTGGCGAATCGGATAAATGGAGGATAAAGCAGCAACGTGCAACTCCAGGTAACCGTCATTATAATAAAAGTATACTTGCTGATTGTAGGAGGGCGTCTCCTTGCGATTTCTAACTGAACATCATCATTACGTTGAGCTCTCAGGCACGAATAGT